GTTTCCAGAGATTGGCTCCAAAATCTGCTGTCGCTGGCATGAGATCCAGCTCCTGCGGGTCCCTGGGCGTCATGAGCACGTGCAGGGGGGAGTCGCCACCGGGCGGATCTGAAGCCTGTTGCAAAAGGGTCTTAGGGTTTACGGTTTTAGGGTTCTAGGTTTTAGGGTTTAGGGCTTAAGTAGTTCGGGTTGAAAAGGGTTCAGGTTTAGGGTTAAAGGGACATTACCCCCCCACCCAACGGTGGAGAATGACATGGACGGGAAAATAGAAAATAACATGGAAGCTGAGCTTATACAGCAGCTTATACCCCTACATGGGGCTTGTTTTGAGGTGTTGTCGGAGGTTATAGGGTTCAGGGATTAGGGTTGGCAAGATTTTGGTCCCGAAGTGGACACACCAAGTAGTAGGGATGTGCTAAATTATGGGAACCCCAAAAAGGAGACCATACTTTCGGCATGACTTCGCGACCTCTTGTAACTGAGGTTTCTCCGTACACATCAACTACCCGAACTTGCCTTACGTAGGTTACCCGAGTATAGGTACTGTAGGGTCCCAATACCCAAAATCTCCATATGTATGGTCTCGAAATGGGGAATACTTGATAATTATTGGGGGGCGGTGTGTGTGTGCGTGTGCGAGCAGTAATATTAGTGGGTGCAAGGGGTTTTGGATTTTGGGGGGGAGAAATGGCGCCAAGATTTTCCCCACAAACAAATGTAAAGCACCCCCTCTCACCCCTAATCTCAAAAATATTCATTGTAACTGACCTCATATACCGGGGGGCCATCATTAATGATTGGGGTGGAAGGGGTATGAACCCCAAACCGCAGGGTTTAGGGTTTGGGCCCTACCTATAACCCCACTTACCTGCAGCTTGGCAGTGCTTACCGCCTAAGTCTCGTAGGTATAACCCATAAAGCTGTAGGAAAGCGACGTAATGCCAGATCCAGTCCGCCACCCAATAGGCTGCACCCAAGACGTTTCAATCCTAAGGTTTAGGGTTTAGGGTTTAGGGTGCCCTAAAAGCTCTTGAGTTCAAACATGTTGGAGCAGAGGAGCGTCGGGCAGTGGCAACTGTTTGGGCTGCTGTTGGCCCCTTGAAGCAGTTCGCTGCTGCGTAGGGCTTAAGGTTTAGGGCTTAAGACTGTGTACTGTAGAAGCCTACATGATTGTCAAGACTGATTATGGTGCTGGTTTCCTTATATGGCTATGGTCTAGGGGACCTGGAATAAACTTCAACAATATATTGGTCATGATCTAAAAGGGGATTGTGGCAAAGGGTTTAGGGTCAGGGGTTTGGAGTTGAGGGCTTACGTTGGCTTAGGGCGCAGGCTGTAGAGGGTTTACGGGGGTTTTAAGGGTGGCCCTAAACCCCAGACCCCTAAATCCCAAACCTTACCCCCTAAACCCCCTAACTCCAAGCCCTAAATGCAGAAACCCTAATCAGATTTAGGTTCGAGATTTCTTCGAGCTCTTGAGACTTTGGAGTTTAGGAGAAAGGCGTACACTTGCCCAGACCAACATGGAGCCCCACAAAGGCTTTGTCTAAAAGGACAGCAGTCTGACCAACAAAGCCCAAGATCTCTTAAGTAAGGAATATACCGTAAATCATGTTAGGCATCCTAGGTAAATTCCCTAACTAAGGGATGTTGGGCTTTTTGGGTAGGGCTGTGACTGTGTGTTTGCGGCAGTGTGCGTTGCAGTGCCCCCAGGATACGCGGGGTGGCCAGTTGGTCAGACTGGGGACAGCAGTGGTTTCAAATACCATGGGCCTAGGGTTTAGGGACCATTGCCTAGGGTTTGGGGCGGATTTTTGAGTTTGAAACTCTAGAATTTTCCGACTAAATAATGGTAAGTTTATATGGGCTTGAGGGCTTAGGGTTTAGGGCTCCAGCTTGGGCAGCCCTATCTGGATGTCCCTGAACCTTAATATACCACCCCAAACCCCAAACCTTAACCCGTAGATCAGTTTGCACTGAGCCATGATAAGATGGCCAGCTGGAGAAGTTGCTGGACGCAGTCAAGGAAGCCCTTGGGAAGACCTTTGCCAAGGCTGATTTTGCGTCAGCCAAAGTGAGTGAGGTCGGCAAGTCTCTGGGGCAGGCCATTGCGGAGGTCTTGGCCACAGTCAAGGCGGTGTCAGCCACTATGGTTACTGTCAAGTCGCTCGCTGAGCGAGCCCTGGCCCTGGCAGAAGAGACACAACGACTCCTACAAGAGCTCCATGCGCCCTGTGTTGAGAACACAACCTTGCTGCATGACTGTAAGCTGATTTTGCAGAAGAATCGGGATGAGTTTTACCCGGGCCTACAACAGCAGGTTTTGGACTTGCAAAGGAAAGTGGACGCCCTCGTGGACATCGTGAAGGCCCTTGACCAGAAAGTCCCGCCACCGGAGAGGTAGACCCAGCAGCAAGTGAGCAACCTGCAGGTGCAGCCCCGGCAGTTCTGTATTCCCGCGCACCTAACCGTACTGCCAGGGGCCTTGCAGCCGGAGCTCATGGTGGCCAGACCGGCGGCCATCACTCCTGAAATCCTGCTGCAGCAAGCCATTACCATGATGCAGCAGCGCAGACAGTGAGTTCAAGTGGCCTGAGAATTTCAAGGGAGCTGTGGAGTTTAATTCGGGAATTCAGACTTTGGAATTCAGAACGGGATGCATTTAGGGCTTAGAGTCTAGAGTTTAGGGTTAAGGGATCCCATATCACTTCCCGCCCCGTCCCCTCCCCCCCCAAATAGGCCTTAGTTATGTGTGTGTGTTAGGGTTTACGGTTAGGTAATGGTTCAGCAATGTGGAAGGCACGGCACAGGTCGAGGGGAGTCAAATAAAGACCACGTGGCACAAGTACTTGCGGCAGGCCACGCACGTCTATGTATGACACTTACCATAGGCACGGTTTCCACGCAAAGCTGTCAATTTGGGGTTCCCACAAATTAGGGGTCTCTTTTCGAGGCAACCATTATAATATATTATAAGGTCGGTCTCAGCATTTGGGGTCTACGTTGAGATCCCAATTTTTTTAAACTACTACCATATAGCTGTCCTGAAGTAAGTCCACAGACTTGTGATGTTTTCGGCATCAAATTCGAAACCTCAAACCCTAAACCTTAAGCCCCAAACCCGAAACCCTAAGCCCCAAACCCTAAACCCTTAGCCCTAGATTGCGTTTTCCTCCTTCCGGGATGACTTCCAGGGTTGCGCATACACTCCGCCAAAACAATCATGGAAGCTGATGTGGATCGTTTTCTGAGGATCCTCCTTAGGCTCTAAACCGTGACACCATACAACCCTAAACCCCCTACTCCGTAAACCCCCATGAACACCTAAAGCCCAAACCCCAATACCTTAAATCCAAAACCTAAAACCCTAAACCCCTAAATCCCTCGACTATGCTTCAAGGCGATCGGGCGGAGAAGAGGCTGGCTGTGTCGTGCTGTGACTGGTGCTTTCTCATGAAATTTGATATGGATTTAAGTTTTATGGTTCCCCAAAATTAGGGGTTATCTTAAAAGGAGATATTTCGTGTTTGATGGAGGTTGTATGGGGTTTGGTATATGGTTTAGGGTTTCCCAAGCCTAGGGTTTACCAACCTGGGGATCCCCCTCGTAATCAGGACAATGCTATTTGGGGGTCTATATTGGGGTCCCTCTATTTGATGGGTAGAGCCATGTGTCAGGGGTTGAGGGTTTGTGGTATACCAGGAGTAGCCAATGTACCGATGGTTATGTTTTGGAGCCCGAGGCCTGGATTTCGAGATGAGGGGTTTCCAAAAATTAGGTGCTCTACCACGGGTCAGCTATCCGGTCAGTATCCGCTCTACGAATGTCTGCATATCTGTCATGCATCCGTTGGGGCTTTGATTTTGCCATCTTGCCGTACGTGATTAAAAGGCCAGCTAGGGCTTTCAAGCCGACCGCGCAGATAAGTTGGATACTGCAAGCACTCAGTAAGAGTTGGATAACATTTATAAACTCGATACCCTAGTCCAACCAAGCGGATAAGGATCAATGGTTGAGGTGGCAGGGTTGACCTTTTGTTCTTGGCAGTTCATATGAGCTATAGTCTAAACTCCTTAAAGGGGGATATGTAGGGGATTCTATAGGGGAGTATTTCAGGGCTTATCAAAGGGAATACGAGGAGTTTAGGGCATACTAGGAGTTTAGGAAATGTTTGAAAGAAAATTCCGATTAGTTGTCAGCTGACTGGAAGTTGCGTATGCATAAGCAATATTTGTACACACACAGATATATATATGTGTGTATATATATATATGCACATGCAAGGTATTTATACGTAGCACCCACAGTGTTCAGGACAGCATAAGCGGCCCAGGATCCCCTTCATTGAGACTTGGTTTCAAGTATTCCCTGTACCAGGTAAGGAAAGGGGTTCTCGCATTCTTTCATTTATTTCCTTTAATACAGCAGATTTGAGCTCTTTGAATGACCTTCATACGTGAAACGCTTGCCTTTACTTGAGAGCATGTGCCAAAAAAAGGGGCCTGCGTATATAGCATCATATGAGCAATAATCTAATTCCTTATAGGGGTTATATAAGGGATTATACAGGGGACTGCTAAAGCGTTATTAAGGGGGATACTAGGAGTTTAGACTATAGCTGATATGATTGGAATCCCCCGTGACAGAGGGTGCACAAGTACTCACACATTCACATATTCCTGCGCCATCCATGCAACTTCTTCATTGAACTTCCCAAGCTTTAGACTCTTAAACGAAACTGCTCACTGGGTACCCTAAACTGCAAACCCTGAACCCTAAACTCACCCGTCAACCATAATACCTGAAGACCTTCCCCTTGTAGTTTGGACAGGGTCACTGTAGAGCCCTTTGACGCAACCGTTTCGAGGGTTTAGGGTGCTGGATTTTGGGGGTTTTATTTGGACCTAGGGTCTATATGGGGGTTTTTGAAAATTAGGGGTGCCATTTTGGGGGCTCTTATAATAAGGATTACAGTATATTGAGGTCTATATTGGGGTCCCCTCATTTTTGGAAACTACCATATTGTTTAAATTAGGATCTAGGGTTTAGGATTTAGGGTTCAGGACTTCGTGTTTAGGGTTTAATTTGGGCTTAGGGCCCTAGGGTTTCTTTTGGGTTTAGGCTTTAGGTGTAATCAGGGTTCAGGGATGTTCAGGGCTCAGGGTTCAGCAGGCTTGAACCCTAAACCCAAAACCTTAAGCCCTAAACCCTACAAAACCCAAGTCCCCTAAACCACGCCTCGATGTTCACGGTCCTCGAATACTTCTTAGAGCTAGTTTGCTGCTGCCGAAGTGGAAGGGTTAAGGCTTTGGGTTTAGGGTTCAGGGGTAGGTAAACCTAAACCCTAAACCGCGTCCTATAGTTATAGCCCCCCTTAAGTAGATAGAATATGGCTTTGGGTATATTATAATACGATCCCCATATACCCCATATTCTATCTACTTAAGGGGGACTATATGAATAAGTAGTGACTACGTTGCATAATCCTCGCAGTGAGCTTCTTCCCTGAGAGGCGTGAAGCTCGAGCGCCGGATGCAACGGAAGATGCTTAGTCGCTGCAAATATTTTAGGATCAGGGGTTTAGCGGCTTAACCCTACTGTCGACATGTGATTAATAAACACCCCTCAATTAAAGGGCCTTGAGCCTGATAGGGAGCACAGTTGGGTCGCGGGGACTCTACTGAACATTAGGGTTTAGGGTTATTCTCCGAAACTAGACCATGTTGGCTTTTGGGCTTGGGGGGTGTAGGTTCCAGGATTTTGTAAGCAAGATATGGGTTAGGGTTTATAGGAACCAGGGTGTAGGATTTCGAGAAGTTTGGGCCCGTGATATAGACCATTGTGGTCGACCACATCCTGAGAATCAAAAGCAAAAGGGGGTCCTGATTCTTGTCACCCTTCCCCCCTCCCATGTACGGACTGGGGTTTTGAACCTAGGCTTTAGCAGTGTCATTTTCTAAGCCTGGGACCCTGCTGCAAGGGTGGAGCACTTATCCTCAAGGGAAGCGCTTATCCTCTCATGTTTTCATACATCCATTCGCACCACAGGCCCTGAGCCTTAAAGACTGTGATCCATGCATGGTACATCTTAGGGTTGCTTATTATCCCTGAATCCTAAACCCCCTAAAGAGAGAGCGCGGTACAAAGCGTAAAACCCCTGAACAATAAGGATGCCCATGCGGCCTCACTGGAGTCGCTGAACGTCCTTGTCTTCGCAGCAATGCAGGCCTTCAGTTGCCCCGTGCAGGCTTAACCCAACGATGGAGATTCAAATGGAAAAAGGAAAATGAAATGGAAACTTATAAGGGGTAACTGAGACCCTTGTAAAAAAAAGGGGTGAAAGATACCAAAGCATTTGGTATAAACCCCCGGTTGTATAGGGACTTTGTTAACACTAGATAGGGCTAAGGGTCTGGGGTTTGGGACCTTCTTCAATCTCTATACAGTACCCACTTAAACAATAGTGACGTGCAGCAAGAACATTGAACAAGTCCTTCTTGAAGCCTCCTGTGGTTCTGAGGATCACTGGGGATTGATGCCAAGGGGATGCTCAAGATTCTGCTAGGAGCCTAAATTCGAAACAAAATGCAGGGTTCAGGGTCTGGGGGAATACTCGCAGGCTTCTTCAATAAAAAGAGGTCCAACAGTAGCGTTCAGGGCTCAAGGTTTCAGGATGTAGGGCTGAGGTGGAAGGTTTTAGGGTGACCCCTTCCATCAGGGAGATATTCTACATGAGACTACTCACCCTGAAATGATTTTGGGTACGTTCCTTACTTAAGGGGCCATGGGCTCCTGTATGGATTACAATATGGGGTAGCTTTTAGTGTCCCTACTAGGACTTCTAGATGATCACCAAGGAATTGCTTGGGGCCTAGGGATTAGGATCAATAATTGCTTGGATCATGGCGTTTAGTATCCACTTGTTCGTGGGGCTGTTGGGGGGGGGGTTTGGGCGGCGGGGTTTGGGGGGTTGACGTACGTATCTTTGGGTTGGCCTTCAGAAGAGCAGTCGTGAGGTGTATCTGTAGCAGTGAACAGTCAGTACGCCATGCGCCCGCATATATGTCACTGCTAAATCATATGAACCTCCAAGGACTAGGGAGGGTGCCTATTCTGGAATATGTTCGGGTCACATCTGTCGACTACACACCGGTGACGCTCCAAACCCCAAACCCCTCGCAGGGCCAGGATCTTGTTAGTCTGTTTGTTTGTTTTTGTCTCAAATGCACATCTTTGCCGCTCTGAAGCTCTGTGTCTCTCACATGTTTCAAAACCCCCCTCCCGTACCCACCTTGCATGTTTCTTTTCCTACCCTAAACCCTGAAGCGTGTAGTAAGACCAATGGACCTCTAGTCTGGTCTGAGGTGGGAGCCACGGCCGAAACTATCGATAAGGCCTCCCATCTAGCCTGGCGGAATAAAGGTTTCGATGTCTGTGTTAACAGCACGCACTATTTGGTAGCAGGAGTTGTAATATGGGGGTTTCCAAAAGTATGGATCCTTTTTAGGGGCACCTAGGAGTTATGGGTTTGCAAGTACAGTTCATGTTGCTAGAGGGCATCGCCTGGTAGGATTTATCGCGCAGGCTTGTGGTGAAGCGTGTTGAGGTACTTGGGCGCTCAAACCAGGTAGAATAGCATAGAACCTGGCAAAAAACAACAGGCTCTGTTACATAACCCCTTGTTGTTGAGTCCTTCTCAGGATGTCTGTTTCATTCGCTAAACCCCAGAACCCTAATCCCTGTACTGAAGTCCATAAGCCCCGAACCCTACACCTGTAACCAAGCCTAAACCCCAAACCCTTAACCCTACATCCTTCACCTTCCCCCTTTCCGAGTCATCTTAGAACCATGAGCCAGCTCCCGCTGACTAAAGCCTGTGTAAACTCAGGACATATGGTAGTTTCCCTAAGTAGGGGGACCCCCATATAGACCCCGAAATATTCTAATCCTTATTATAGGGACCCCCAAAATGGCACCCCTAAATGGGAAACCCGCATATTTTCCCCGCGTCCTAATGAACTCAAGAACGGCTTAGTCTTGCCGAGTGTAGGTTAAAGGGCTACATACGGAAATACACAATGGAAGCTATTGTGTTTAGGGTTTAGAGCTACATAGGGGAATGGCAGAGGATTTCGGAACTACTGTAGATTACTGTAGGTGAAGAAAACCTGATGCTCACTTGAGGTGTCAGATGGTGAGCTCTGTATATCCACCTCCCAGTGTGACTCGACATGTTGTTAGCAGCTGTGAGGAGTTGTTGACAACTGAATGCATGTGTGGCCCTTGGGACTCAAAGGGAAGGCTGCGGACTTCAAAGCCCTTGGGCCAGCGTACAGCAAGAATTTATCACTTTCGACCTTCATTCTTTGAAGAAGCATAATGTACAGAAGTCGGCATAGCGTAGAGCTCATGCACTGAGATTCACATTTGCTTGTGACTTAAAAAGGGAAATTCCAAATTGCGTTGCCATGGCTGTTACTGCGTGAGACTGTTCAGTCAAAGGGGCACTTCAACTACGCATCGAAGTGATAGTGAATCACTTCAACAGGTTATGAGCGCCCAATCTGCGCCTACTGCGCAAGCCGAGGAACCATCAAGGATGGTCAATGGCACAACCACGACTGGTGAAGAAGTCGTGGGCAATGTGACAAGTTCGGATAGTCAACGAGTGTTTCAAGGTGGTCCTGTGGGCGGCTACGGGTCAGTGCAAATGACTGAATCAGCGTCTGAAGGTGGCAGTCGTGAAGATGCTGCAATGAGAGGCGCGAGACAAGGTCGCAATGACGCAACTGATAGAATGGCCGACTTGGACATGGGATCGGCGTCTGGAGCTGGAATGGAGACTGCGCAGAGGGGCGAGAGAGCATCGCTTCTAGGTGGTCATCCTGTGGTGGAAGACGGTCGACGCATGTTTGAGTCAACCCATGTACAGGACCCTGAGTTTTCTTCTCCAATCTGAGAGTAGCTGGGCGTGCTACTCTGTCGAACTGGACGGCCAACTTGGAAGCAGCTCCTCAGGGGCTTCGATGGATGACGAGGCTGGGAGAGTTTCTGAGAACAAGGGCAGAGCTACTGCCAAGTCCGTTTCCATCTCCTGACCGCGATCAAGCAGGAGAAAGGATGTTCGAAGCTGGAAGATCTTTGACTCCTCCTCCTCCCGCGATGCTGCAAGGGTTCCTGGGATCTAACATGTTTAGTAATGAGCCTCCAAGTTCGTCCTCGGGAGTCCCCACTGAGGTAATTCAAGAAGAAGTTCAGCGCCAACTTAGGGGTGTATATGAGAGGCTAGAGTACTCCGAAGCTCGTAACCACCAGCTCCAAGCACAGCTAGAAGCCTACAAGCAGATGCATGAGCAACAGGCGGCAGCAGCACATATGCAGGCGAGTGGTGTGTTGGAATGCTCAGCCACGGCACTTCCTTCTCCTGTGCAGCCTTCACGGCAATCCCAAGCAGGTACGAATATTCCTATTAGTGGACATGGGTATAGAGAGGGTACCCCTAATGTATCTCGGGAAGGTTTATATCAAGGTGCCATTCCGGCAGGGGAGTCCAACAGGACACCGCAGCAGAGCCTGATAAGAAGCCTTCTCACGCGTGCTGGTCTAGGAATACCCCAAAGGGCTACCTCGGCTATAGGAGATGTAGGAGTACCCCAAGGAAGTACCTTAGCACCAGGTTTAGGAGAACCCCCAAGGGTTACCTCGGGTATAGGAGAAGTAGGAATAATGCAAAGAAATACCATTCGAGAACCGCTCCCGCAGAGAGCACCAGGGCTAGGAGACTCACAAGGGGATACCTCGGGTGTAAGGGATCTAGGAGTACCCCAAGGGCATACCTCTAGTGGGCCATGCCCCCAGGCTTTGGGTGCAGGAATGCTGGCAGCCGGCAACTCCCATGGTTTCTCTTCGCATGTTCAGGGTCAAGGGTTCCCCAAAGGCCCGGATATAGTTATGGGGGCAGCCAGAAAACTTGTGCAGCAGGAGAATCAATCGGGTGCATCAGGTATAGGAAACCCCAAAGAGCCTCACCCGGGTATAGGAGAACCACAAGGGAATACCCTGTACGCAGCGCCGCATTCATCTTCGGGTTTAGGAAGGGTTGCTGGTGATGGTAATCCTCCTGGGAACTTTTTGAGATACCTTTAGTGCTGGACCAAGCGGTGGGGGCGGAATAGGCAATGACACGGCAACCCAACACCCATCGCCGAGCACGGGGAATTCACTCCTTGATGCACTGTCTCAAAGTGTGCAGCAGCTACAAGTTTTGCAAGCCAAGGCCCTCACTAAGGACGCCGATAGTCCGACCGCGCAAGAAAACGTTAAGCCAGGTTCGGTGAGCCTTCCCATGTTGTCTCCGCCAAAGGATGAGATGTCGTCACTCCATTTTCAAGATTGGGTTGAGGTTGCTACAATAGTTATGAGTGATCTTTCGGATAATAGTGCAAGTTGGTGGACAAGGTTGTTGGAAATTGTAGATGAAGCATATCAAAGATACTTAGCCGCCACACCAATTGAGAGATTATCAATCCGCCCTGTAGATGTAGGATTGACTGGGGGAAAGTGGACACGCGTAAATGCTCGTGCGTGCTCTATGTTGCTCAGCGCCGTGGATGAGAGTCTTAAGCAAGACCTTGTGGCACGTAGAATATCCCAGGATATGGTGCAGGCCATCTTCAGGCTTTACATTGCATATCAGCCAGGGGTCAGCTGAGAAGAGTCACGTGCTCAAGCAGCTGCAGCACCCTCAGACTCCCAGCAGCATTCACGATTGCCTGTCAGTGCTGAGAAGCTGGCCCAGGTGGGTCCGGAGGTGTAAACAAGTCGGCATGCTCACGCCAGACCCCAACGTGCTCGCTGCAAGCCTGACCAGAATAGCATCTCCATATTTGTCACAGTCCCCAGACGCGGGATTTAGAACCCAGCTATTGCGCACTACCCTAAGGATAGAAGCATCCCCCACCTCAGAGGCAGTCGAGTCGTACCATAGTCATCTGTTGGCCGAGATTGAGATGATCGCCTCCTCCATTACCATAGGGAAGAACAAACCTGCACTCCAGGCAGTGGATGGGCCATCTCCGGCTTCACCAACGTCGAGTCCGACAAAAGGTGCCAAGGGAGAGGTGATGTGCAAGTACTTCGTTAAGGCTGGTGGTTGTCGAAGGGGAGCCAAGTGTCCTTATTCTCATGATATGGGGCAACTCAGCCGTGATCAAAGATCCAAGAAGTGCTTGCTGTGTGGGAGTGAGGCTCATCGAAAAAGGGATTGTCCGACTGGAGAAGCCGGGGCAAAGGGATCCGGTAAGCGAGATGAAGGTTCAACAAGGGCTAAGTCAACGCAGCCTTCGTCACCTCCTACCTCCCCAATAAGTGGTCAACCTGTCGTCGCAGCCCAGGTGGTGAATCCAGCTGAGTTGACATCTCCGGTGGCAGTTGAGAACGCCAGCCAAGGCATGGATCCTCCAATGTCCATAGAGAATTTGATCAAGATTGCTCAGCAAATAGTTCAAGGGCAGGGGTCGAGTTCATCAATTTCCACGGCGGTGACGGAGTCAAGTTCTGCGTCGTTGAGGGTGATGACTGTGACGAATCCAGTTCATAATAACACAGGCGCGGTTGTGGGTGCATCAGGTCTCGTGGACTCAGGGGCTACCCATCCTTTGAGGAAGGCAACCTCAAGTGATGAGTGGGATGAAGCTTCTCCAGTCTCCGTGAGTTTAGCGGGGAATCAGGTTGTGGATATGAGGATGACACCTTCAGGTACACTGTTGCTTCCAGTTTCCGAATTGGGGTCCACTACAATTCTTCCTGTTGGAGAACTCATTCGTACCCTTGGGTACCGTCTGGACTGGTCAAGGAAGCAATGTCGTCTCATAGCACCTGATGGTGAGGCCCTGAAACTCTCTATGAGAGATGGATGTCCCCAGCTTCCAGAATACCAAGCTCTCAGTCTTATCGGGCGCCTTGAGGAGCAGAAACTTAGTCAGTTGAAGCATGCAACCATACGAACCGAAGAACTGGTTAAGGCAGCTGCTCTGAGCATGGAAAAGACTTGGTTCAGATCCTTGATTGAGCATTGCGAGGGTGACATCCAGGCGGGAAATCGAGCGGTGGATCATGCACCTTTCTTGAAGGACCTGCCTTGGGAAATGAAATCTGGGTTGATCACCAATCACTCGGGTGTCAATGGGTGGGAACTTCTGAAGAAGTTTACATGTTGGTCACGGGCATACAGGCGTAGACTCCATAAATCATCGTCTTGGGTGATCCACTTGTATTCTGGTAAGTGTCCGAATGGGGCCTTCCGGGAGCTGGATAGTGGGAACAATGTTGTTGTGAACATAGACATCTTGAAGTCTTCACAACTCAATGTGGATGACAATCATCTATGGAGTTT